CCCGACTGACGCGTGAACATTGGGGATGACCGTGTCCTCAGCGGAGGTTAAATACATCACTGGGCATGCCCATAGGTCATGTGATCTGATAGCTGGTGTAGGAGAAAGGCCACAAGAAAACTTTGGATTCTGAATCATCTGCCTTATCTGAAGTCAATATGTCTGAATAATGAACTGCTTCACCTGCCACATGAAGGGGCTGGACCGGATGATATATAAAGTTAATACAGTTTATATTTTTTATTTTATTTTATATATTTTTTGGTGGCTGGCCTGTACAGGGTTCCAAACAAACCCTAGACCTTGGTGATATCAGCACCAGGCTCTAACCAAGTGAACGAGCTATCTGGCCAGCACCTAATTAAACGAATCAATGAGGTCGACCTGGTTTGTGTTCATTCACTTTCCCAGGTAGTCATTTGATACACATGCACTACACATCCATGTTCAAAGCACAGTGAGGGACGCTGGGACTATAAAAGGGGATCAGCTCAGAGGTGTGAGCCATAGGGATGGAAATGAAATGGCCAGCTCTTCAGTTAAGTGGCTGGGAGAGGAGAATCAAAAGAGGCTGATCCCTGAGAAAGGCCTCTCTTGGGGGCTGGAGCAGAGAGCTTCAGAGGAGGAGAGATGGGGACCCTGTCCCAGGTCTAGAACGCCACACTACAGACACCGGTGTTTATTCTGTGGTGGAGACACCGATGGTTTTTAAGGAGAAATGATATGATTGTATCTGCATTTCAGAAAGGTGATTCTGGCAGCAGCGTGGGCGGTGGGGAGAGCACATCAAAGGCGGACAGAGCAGGCACTCAGCAAAGAGCAGAACTGGAGGCCCTGTCTGAGCCACGCTCAGTGATTTTCTCTCTCCACATCTTAGTTTCTGCTTCTGGTTTTTTCTAGGAAAAACTAGAAAAAAAGAGGATAACAGCACTTATTTCACCAGACTTTTGTGAAAGTAAGCTTGCAAAAGTGTCAGGTAGTTTATACATTTTTGGTACTCACTAAGGTCTTAAACTTGGTATTTTAGATTCAGGAACGGGTTTTTCTTTAAAACAACAAAACTGACAATTAGAGCTGTTCACAAATAAAGGGCCATTCTGGGAGGTTATTCAGACACAGACTGCCCAGCCACCACTCGAACAGGCTTCACAGGTGGAAGGTTAGCTGTGCCTGAGATCTGGGCCCTGTTGCTGGTATAAAAACTGTCATTAAATGTTTTTAATACAAACTCACATATAATCATGGTTTTTATGTAGTTTAGCCCTTTATCATGATGTTTTTGATATTCCATTCTATATAGAAAACATAGCTGTAGGAAAAAGAAAGGAAGACCAGCAGCCTCTTATTCACAACATATCCCTATCCACACAGCAACCAATGTTGATAAAACAGAAAGGCACAGCGTAAAGTGAAAGAGGACATACCACGAACCGCTCATCCTGCTTTAAGGGGGCCTTCGTTGTGCAAAACCCTATTACAGATGCTCTGAAGTAAGTTTTTGATACTGTTCCCCACGTACTACCTGGGAGAGAAAGGGCACACAGGGGAGCTGAAGCGGGGGTGGGGGGAAGACAGAGGAAAGGAAGAGGCAGGGAGGGAGGGAGGAAGTGTCAGGGTGCAGGGAGTTAGGAAAGATTCTGCTGAAATGCTTAACTAAGTCAATGAAATTTCTTTGAGCCCCACTAGACTTCTAAAATCTCAGAGCCCTTTACCTTGTGCAATTAAACAAGCAAACCAGTAATTCATTAGGGATAATTTTAATAGATGACTCATTTGGCCCAGCCACTCAGTAATGCTTTGGTTTCCCAAAATGCCTGGCAGATAGTTCATTACAATGAAGCTTTCAGCTGCCACCGAGACAAAAGACAATGGAATGTAAACTGCCTGTGCCACTTCTTCCAACTTCTCACTTCAGTTTTTTTGAAGATAAAGATCAAATGAAATGATTTCTGTTAAGCTTGTATTTCCTGTACAGAGTTGATATCTTCTTCAAATTATATGATTATACGACTATTAAATTAATACTTACTGCAGAGGAAGTTCTATTTAGACACAAGGCCTGGCCTTTGAACTTTTGGCTCTTCAAATGTTTTAGTTTCTGTCTCACAACTATTAAATTAATACTTACTGCAGAGGAAGTTCTCCTATTTAGACACAAGGCCTGGCCTTTGAACTTTTGGCTCTTCAAATGTTTTAGTTTCTGTCTCACTTAATTTCTCATATGGCAGTTGTTTCACAGAATGAGGAGACACCACGGAAGGCCAGTAGTAAAAGTGCTAGTTTACTTGTAATTCCTAGTAAGAAGTATACATTTTGAAGTCAGTGAAAAAAATGGCTTTAAAAATCTCACAAAAATAGCTAAATATACCAAAAAATAAACCCAGAAACTTAGTGTCTAGCTCTTAATCCTGTTTGTGATGCCAATTGTAAAGCTAAGTGACCACGCTAGTTGTCAGGCTCTTTTACCTGCCAGTAATCCTGCACCAACTGGGCTGATTCTCAAGCTAAGGCTGGGTCTGGAGCCCACAGACTCCTCAAGCCCATTCACGGACTGGGTCACAAACCCTTCACATGCCAGGCTGGGTCCCCAGACCTGTCACACACCAGGTTGGATCACCAGACCCCTTCACGCAGGTCTATGAGCTAGGTAACTGGCCAAAAGGTCCTTGGAAGCTATAGGTTGGAAAGCATGGCTGTGTGGGGCGGACGCCCAAGGCCGACACCCTCCCACCTGCTTCACTAAAACTACTCTCTTCTCTCTCTCTCTCTCTCTGCAGAAGAACACAAGAATAGCAACAAAACTAAAAAGATACACTGGTGCACATGTGCACTAACTTCACACGCACACACACAATTAGTTTACGAAGGATGCTGAACCACACCCAACTGGACCCGAGGCAAGGGCCCTGACCAAACTATTCTATTTTCCAAACACTTAGCATAGAATAAACACTTAGCACAGAATCATAGTAAGACATTGCACTGAAAAGTCAGTGGCGCAGGGCTGGAACCCACTGCTCAGGGCCCGACAAGACTTCAGACAAGAGCTTCTCCCTTCAAAGTCAGCTTTTACACATGAAAACTACAAATGGTAATTCCTGCTCTCCTAACAATGGTCACTCCTAACAAAGTCCCATTACTAGAAAGTGCTCTGTGTGTGTGTGTGAGTGTGTGTGTGTGTGTGTGTGTGTGTGTGTGTGTGTGTGTGTGTGCATGCACGTGCGTGCACATGCGTGTTGGTGGGGCTATGGACGGAGAGGCAGGATAGGAAGGGGAGAGGGGAAAGAATGAAAAATCTGAAGGTTTTCCATAACAATAGAACCTGTGATAAAAATCTGGCTCTACCTAGAAGAATCCTCTAACAAATGACACCCCTGAAAACTGAGAGGAAATAGAGTAATGATCATGTAAGTAAAGACGTTTCTGAATGAGCTGATGTGAATGTCATCAGGTACACCCAGGGGTACTTGATCTTCTAAACTAATGTTATTTTGTAACTTTTAAATTTTCTTTCGTAAATCAGGGCCAGAGTATCATTCTGTCTTTCTATTTTTCTATCTGCTCAAATGTTCTTCTTTTAAAAACACGAATAATGTCTAATAGTAGTAGAATCTAGAGCAATTGGCCACCGTGTGAGAACACATGGGCACATCTCACTTTCCTTTATGGACTGCACCAGAGAGAAATGTGCTTGAAAACATTAAGCTGAAATCAAGTAAATCCATCACATCTCTGCCTAAGAGTAAAGTCATGTTCAGTGGGAAATGTGTTAATGCTAAGTAAACATCTGTTAATAGTAAAAGGAATGAAATGCATTTCATAATATACAGATTTAATTTTGATAAGTTTTATAAAGCAATGATCAGATGAGGAGAGTCGATTCAAGTATTTACCAGACAAGTGGGGGGGCAAGACTAAAGACAGAGGAATAAGATCCAGGTCCTGCCTTCAAGAAGCTTCCCCAAGAGACTGACAAGAGATAAGTAGCAACATTGCAGCTATGGCAGTCGGGGACAGACCTTATCCTCAGAGGTCTCACTACTTACAGATTCTGTAGGAAGTAATGAACAGTAATGGTTTCAGCCCAAACATTCTCTCTATAACACGAGAAAAAAATAGCAAAAGTGATCTCAAATATTTTACATAACTCTGAGAGGTACTTAGAGAAGCTATCCAAGGAGTAATTTCATCTCTTTCTTTGAGAACTTCACTAATAATTTCCATATGAGGCTTAAACCAACAGTGCAAAGACAATTTCTCAAAGGATTTCTCGATTTTGCCTTTAGATAATTCTGCTTCTGTAAATACAGTACAACTGTATTTGTGAACCTACTGGGCTTAGCAGAGAACCTATTCTTTTTCTTTTGTAAAATGAAAATAGGACCTTCACTTAATTGTACCCCAAATTTATCCATTTGGGGCATATTTAGCTTGTGTGCATGGTACAGTAACAGTTTCTGAAGCAACTCTAAGAAGTCGAAAACCCTTTGGAAATTCGATCCCAAGAAGACAGTGACTTTTGAGTATTCTTTGGCTACAGTGAGGCACAGAGTGGGTCATGGAACAAAGTTACTAGCCTATTTATTCTAAAGTTATTTCACTAGCAAGTCAGAATGTCAACTGTCTCATTCCTGCACATACCTATTCCGCGTCACCTGGTCCCACCAATGCTGCCCTGGGCAATCAGACAACCTGCAAGATGGCCCACCATGACATCCATCACAGAGACTTCAGGATCAAATTGCTTCTTCGAAACCAACAATTACCCTGCTTTACTAAATTCAACAGGAAGAAAAAGAAATAACAGATCTTAAAAATGCCAATACTACAACATAGAGAAGGGATCAAATATTTATCTTTACTTGAGATAAAAGTATAAGGGGAATCTTTGTGACTTCACTGCTATGATTCCTTTGCAGAAAATAAGCCAAAGAGGTGTCTTCTAGCGTGGCGTAAACAGGAGCAGAAAATAAAATGTGTTTCTTTGCTTTAAGGAGCATTTAACTTGGAAAAGGTTTTTCACTTTGTGGCTTTGGATGCAAAGGCAAAGTTAACACTTTTGTATTAGAGGTCCCCCAAGGGGGAGCCTGAGAATCTGGAACCTGGGCTCCAAGTGGTCTGGAAATGGACAAAGCAGAGACACAGGCCTCTCCACCAGGGCTCTGTGAGGACAAAATACATAATTTTAGTAAATAATTTCCTGCAATAAAGGTGCCAATAAGTAGGATAAAGCCACACGGTACTTCAGAATGACTGTAAAAGCAAGGATTTTGACTTTTAGCCTGTTGCATGGGCCAGTGCGAGCGAGAGAGAGAGAGAGAGATTAATTTATGGTGATCATGTACATGGAGCACATGAAAATAAGAGAAAGCCTTCGTTGACTGCAAATACTTTTAGTCTCTTCCAGTGTGCATTAGTGTAAAAATGAAGCATTTCTATAAGGAAAATCATATCTAAACTTAGATGATATATTTTTAATTACATCTATATCACAGGAATAGTCTTGTTACTAAAATTAAACAGTTTTCATCTGTCGGTGGAAATCCACATAAAGTGGGAGATACCAGTGAATAAAGAGACAGCTGAGGACGAGAATGGGACAGAGAGGGCAGAAGGGCCATCGCTCAGGCACAAAGAGGAAGGGCAGACCAGGAAGCGGAAGAAGAAAGCTTAGGGAATCTCATGTACTCAGTGAATGGAAAAGTGAGTATCACGATCTAAGTGGGAAAAGAAACTTTTCACAATGTTTTTGTAGGACTTCTGTTCTCAGCACTTGAACCACAACGTTGCTGGGTACAAAGGGTCACTTCATAATCCACAAGGCATGATGACACTTCACATCCATGGGAGTGACTGAAGGGTGGAGTACAAGCTTCCACCTTAATGTGGTTAATTGCTACCCATTAGAACATAACTGGCATTTATGCAGTTTCATAACCCACGTCCACAGGCACTGTGCCTACTGAATATGCAACTCCACTCTGTGTGCATTTCCATCCACTCTACATGTGTGCAGACACACATGTGCACCAAGAACTGCTTTTCTAATATGATGTCATATGCTCAATTAAATACGGTTAGCATCAAACTGAAAATGTGATCTGAAAACGCACTCACGCTCATGTTTCTAAATTATCTGTGGATGAAAACCTGACAAATAATTCATCCTAGAAATGTGGACAGTACAGGCATCTGTCATTAAGATGACTTAAGCAGGACCTATGGTGTCTGGTCGGGGGCACGCCACTCCTGTGATGTCACTCCCAACCACGCAAGACCTGCACAGATGAAACAGGAAACTGTGACTTTCTGTATTTTTCTTAGCTTATTTTTAAAAATACGCTGAAAACTTAAGTTTGCTGTAAAACATTTAAAGCACAACCACAGATGAAAGAATAAAGAAGAGCAAAAGAGGAAATGAAAAACAGAATTTATTATGAGTTTTCCACAGCCAGATCAAAAAAATGGGATTTCTTCTTCTCTTGGGTGTGAAGAACACACTCTTAAAACAGGAATGGTTGCTTAGTCTAAACGTTCTAGGTTTCAAAGACGTAGGAAACTGTCACAAGCCTTTTTTTTCCTACAATAAGACAGCTCTTTCCTTTTTCTTTGTTAATTTAGGCACTTGAGTTACCTTTCAATAAATGTTTGGTTTGTTAGAAACAACACAGAAACCATCATGTAAAGGAGAGACTATTTATTTAGTTATTTTCCTTTTTTTCTTTCTTTCATTTTTTTCTTCATTTTCCAAAGACTGTGTTAAACAGCCCCCTAGAAGGTTAGAAGATTTTTCCTCCCAATAGGAAACAATAGCCGATACTTCAATATGAAAAGTCAATATAAACAATATAAAAAGTCAAAAAGAAAAATCAATGAGTATTACAACACATTCAATGAGCAGGCCACTGATGTATTTTCCTTCCAAGCAAGAACATCTCAGGCTCCTAAGTAAAAATATGGGATTAGACTCCTGCAGTGAGTAGAAATCCTATTACTGACCTAATGCCCTAACTAAAAGTCCATTGACAAAAAATTCTATTAGAATAGATTTTCTGGGAAACTCCCCCAAGAACTCTCTGCAAATATTTATTTAATGCCTTCCACTGTACTATAAAGGCGAGAATGATGCTGTTAAGACAAAGAGCTCTCAACAGAATCCTAGTTTGTCTTTCCCACTGTCAATTTAGAGTACAACCTCACTTTCTCTTTCTGTTAAGAAAGGTCTTACTAAAGAACTGATTCCGGCACCATTAACACATTAGATAACTGAAACGCAGGAAGATGCTACTTTTATATGCTACTCTCCTGCATATGAAAAAAGCTTGCTGATGGCAATGTCACAACAAGCAAACTTCCCTTAAATAAGATCTTAGGAAGTTTAAATGGCATCTTTTCCTTCCAGATTTGTGTAACACAGGATGCAAAAGGCTAGCAGCAGACTGACAGACGGGAAAGAAAGGAATGGAAACAATCTGGCTTCATTCACCTTTACTGGCTGCAGCTTTGGGCAAATATGTCACTGAAACTCTAACGCCCAGTTCCTCCATCCATAAAAGGAGGACATACTATCTCCCTTTCAGGATTGTTGTGCCTACTATGTAAGATAATGCATATATAAAGTCCTCGGTAAAGTTTCTGGCACATACTAAGTTCTCAACATTCGGGAATTATTTTTATTTCTAAAAGTAGCTTTATTGCCACTCAGTACGTGCTCCGTGCCCCGCCCCCTCAAAGGTGGATGTTCAATTCAGATGAACTACAAAGCCTGACACTAATGATCTGAATATCCCCTGGACTGCCTCTGGACCAGCGGAACTCGTCAGGAGCATCTGTGGGGTCAGCTATTGGCAGGAAAACCTCTTGCCACTTTATAAATAGCTTTTGCCAAGTTCTGGAAAGAGCATGAACTTAAGTCTCTTGATTACCTGTGTTTCCCAAGAGCAAAGGACCCTCTTGTGAACAGTAAAAGCTTATCGATATTTCTGGCTCAGCCTTTATCAATTAGAGTATCTCTCAATATTTTCTGGCTACCGTTTTATTCCAGATATTTTTATCAAAGTGGGTTTGCAGTGGGATCTTGTTAACCAAACTGTTACCACACGTTTTACTGAAGCACCATTTCTCAACTTTGGACTGCGAGATGTTAATACTTATTTTTCATTCAAAGGGTTCCAAGATCAAATAAGTTTGGGAAACCCTGTATCAATCTTAGCTGACCTAGTGCACAATCACATATTATAAGTTTTGGGAAGTCAGTCCTGCAATAAAGAAATCTGGTTAACTTTGTGCAATATAGTATTTTCCAGGTTTATTTGGCTTTGAACAAAGCTTGGAAGACTTTCACTTGTAGCAACTACAACCATGACCATGGTAGATACCCAACAGAATATATGTTGAATGAATGATGCCTACCTGAGAAGGTGCCACCACTGCTACAATGCTGACAGCTTGACAAGTCACATTCAAGAGTTTGCTTGAATATGGATGGCATGCCTGCCCCAGCATGTTCTCATGAACACCAGGGGTTGCTTTAATGCATGTGAGGGAAGGCAGGCATGAAAATAGGTTGTGGAGGGGTTGGGTAAATATTTAAGAAGATGAAAGTATTTTAAAAGTTTGAGTTGGTAACTATATCCCATAAGAAATGCAAGTTTTGATAATGTGTGTTTGTGTAAATTGAGTATTTACAGCTGTGAGCCATTAGTATTATAGCAATTATTTAAATAGTCGGGGTTTTTTTCAAAATACAACAGTAATTGTAGACATTAGTTATAGAAGCTGGGTGGCGGGTATATGGGTGTTCACAGTAAAATTTATTCAATTATTCTGTATGTTTAGAAATGTTTATAATGAAATATTGGAAAAGATATAACAGCCTATGATTTATTTATTCTGAAGTACAGTACAATATAATTTAATACAGTTTTTATATTCTTTCTTCAAAAGTTGAAATACTTCTTACCCATTCAAATAATTTTTAAAGCATTTTGATCTATGAAGTAAGACTATAAGTGGGTGTTAATGAATCAGAATCAGAAACCGGAAATGACTTTGTATAAATTGTTGCAAAAATATTTACAAGACAGAGGTGGACTCTAATCATGTACGTATAGCACATTACTGCTAATTTTTTTTACAGGGTTGTTATTATGTCCTTTTCATAGATGGGTAACTCGAGATATAACCACTTGTCTGAGGCCAAGGAACAATTCACTGGCACAGTGGGGTCACCTGCACCCCACCTCACAGCACGGGCAGAAAATGTCTCTACTCTGCATCAGCAAAGTTTTCTACAAGTAAAAATGTGTAAGTCACTTAATCTAAAGATTTGCCAATATTTCTGTGTATACATAAGACAGATTATATAGTTAAAACGTAGGTCAGTGAAATATTATTATGACTTGTTTGATCTACACATGCAAACATTTCTTTATAGTAAAGCTGATTACAGTGTCAGGACACAGATGTGTCTTAAACAAACAATGCTTCTCTCTCTTCATTTTTATGATCCTTGACTTCAATCTGGGCAACAAATTTACTTTTAGTCATAAATCTCTGATGTAACCTTGCTCTAATACATTTAGAATTGCAAGGAGTGGTAATATTTCTTAAAGTGGAGAGTAGTAAACTACGAGTTCTTAGTACGTTTTCAGAAATGGAGAAATTTAGCCTTCAGAACACATACATTCCTACATCTCAACCTGTGTGACTATTAGAATCCCAGGAGAATCCTTCATACACAAAACCCACTGTACTGTGGAACAAGTCAAGTCTTGGATGCCAAAGAGAATGACAACTTTGCAAGTGTGTGTGTCTCTAGAATCCGACAATTTCACATATTTATTAAAAGGCTACATGTCTTACTCTTGTGTGGATATTTTGGATTCTGCGTATGCTGTACCAACACCATCTTGTCAAGCAATCATAAAAATGACTATTTGGGACGACCATTTGAAGTGCTTGAGCCAAAATGTTTATGAAATATTTCTATTTTATATGAATCCAAATGTGGGTTCTTTGAGCCAAGATCTGGGCTGTACCCCATAGCAGTGTTAACACTGGCATTTGGGGTGTGGGATAACAGTAGGGGCCCTTCTTCCAGATCCAGTAGCTCACAAACGATTTTCTCATTACTTACATATTTTTACTTATTTAACAATCTTATTTATTTTTGTTGGATTTTTTTGGTCTATTTCTAAAATGTGTCTCCCGCCCTCCCTCTCCCCCTCAATGCCAGCTGCGTAGGTTTACACACGTTCATTTCAAATGTATGGAAAATACAAAACTAGAAATAAAATATATAACCAGTAACAAGCACTATCAATATTTTGGTATAGCTTTTCCCTCACTATCAAAATCTGTTTGATTTCTGAGTTCCAATACAAACTTATTTTTTGCCCAAGTGTGTTCATTTCAAATGTATGGAAAATACAAAACTAGAAATAAAATATATAACCAGTAACAAGCACTATCAATATTTTGGTATAGCTTTTTCCTCACTATCAAAATCTGTTTGATTTCTGAGTTCCAATACAAACTTATTTTTTGCCCAAGTGCAAAAAAATCAAATAAAATAGAATGAAATTTAATCTGCTGGTTCCTGAATTTGGAGAAAAGTTTGGATAGAGAGGAGTACCTACCTATACAGTCTTCTATATAACTCTAAGTATATACAGATAGCTAGACATCTATACAACGAAATGAGATTACTGAGAAAATAATGTATTTATATTTATAAAACTTACATATTTTTCAGTAGATAAGGCCATTTAGGTTAGACAAAAGAAGTTTCAACCTCTCCTGTCAACATCTCCTTTCTCCTACTTATAATTTCTAGAAGTGTAGACCTGTATATTTTCAAAAGTAGAGTTTTAAAAATATATCTAAGAACTACTGCCATAAAACGCTTCTTTTGCAACTACAACTTAGAAGAACATATTTAGAGGATCTAAATATTGCACTCTTCAAAATTTAAAACTGGAATAATTTTTTTTGTCCATAATATAAATCAGTATCAGGTGTTCAAGTACACAGATTTTTTTTCAATTGTTATAAACAAAAACAAAAACATGGGTGAAGCTAACCTCTCCTTTAGCAAGTGAACTATGTGTTTGCTTTCTTTTGTAAAGGTTCAAGTTTCTTTTTGAATCACGTCAATGAACAAGATCCAGTGTCCCAGACAGAAACAATTGTTATAAACAAAAACAAAAACATGGGTGAAGCTAACCTCTCCTTTAGCAAGTGAACTATGTGTTTGCTTTCTTTTATAAAGGTTCAAGTTTCTTTTTGAATCACGTCAATGAACAAGATCCAGTGTCCCAGACAGAAATCATTCCGGACAGAAACAGTCACATGAGCACAAGAAATCTGTGAGCACCTGAACAAGGACAAGCAACTCCAGGGGAAAGGACAATGTCACTACCATAAAAGTTCCTGTCTGGCCACAGAACCAACATTAAGATTTAAAAGCATGCTAATCAGGGCAAAGCAAAATGTAACCGTTTGTTTATTTAAAAAACAACAACAACAACAACAAAAAGCACTACTTGTACATATAACATATGTAACCAAAACCAAAACAACAAACATAGGGATCCTAAGGGTAAAAATCTGATTTTCCCGTTCACTATATCCATTACCCTGCCATAGTATCATTGTTAACAACTCTCTCTCTCTTTCTCTATTTAGTGGGCAAAGCTCATGGGTGTGCAATGTCACACTTTAAGGAGTGTGTGGTGTAATAATCAGACTCTTCGGGAGCAGAAACCAAAAGTTCCGTAAGAAAGCCACTCTTGGAGAAATTGAGTAGAACAGTATAAATCTGAAGGTCTTGGACTATACAAATTTGAATTGGGTAGTATTTCTTGAAGATCTGAGAACCGGTAGTTATATACCCTCCAAGGTCTTTCACAGTTAGTCAGGGGTGTATTGGGCAGGGCAGAGGCAGGAGGTAAAGAAAGGGCGCAGGGTCAGAAGCGTTAGAAAGTGAAGAAGAGCACCATTCAAACGGTTTTTCCATCCATGTACCCATCCATCATCCGAAACATTGCCTAGCACCTTTGTTTTAAATAAATTTTAAAAATTTGTGAAAGATTACCATTTTCAATTAACATTCAGTGTAAACCATGTGTACTCCTGAACCATCAGGCCATAAATTGAAAGTAGTATGAGGTTAAACAAATCTGCATTAGCAATAGTTTGTATGCCACCACCTCCAGGCCTTCCTTTTCAGTATAGGCCTGGCATTGAAAACATCAACGGGTCTGGGTACTTTTGAGAATGAATGAGTTCCTACCTCGACATAGTCCTTGGCATGGCCCCAATCTCGCTTGGCATCCAGATTTCCCAAACTGAAACATTCCAGCTGTCCAAGGTAAATCTTAGCTACCGACCGGCTAATTTTTCGAGTAACAAAATTAGCTCCTAAAAGAGACAAAAGATGTATTATCAGTGGAGTATATTTGACATTTAACAGTTTGGTGAACCAAATCCAATCTCAGCCTCTGGGCATTTCTTTCATTTTCCAATACCCCCACCCCTCCTTTAAAATAATAAAAGAAAAGAAAAAGAAAAAAGATCATTAACTGTCATTTAAGTTAAGAAGCTCTAATTCTAAGTGTCATATCAGCTCTACTTTCATAACAAACATTTTTCTTTCAGGGATGTCTTAACATTCCTAATTTTCTACTTCAATATGCAACCCAGGCAATAGGCCAAAGAAAAGCTATCAGAATGCCAGTTTTTAAACAGAAAATTCGAAAGGTTGTATACAGGGAAATGCCAGAATGGAAGACAGACATCTAAGACCACCCTGATTTTTTTTTTTAAGAACAAAAACATCACATATTCCTACTAATAAAGCTATTTGGGGGCCAATGGGGAGAGAGGGGAAAGTAACTTAGTTCACAGGTATAACTAGTTAAAGGAAACAAAAAAGAAATTTATCTGGGCTGCCTTTCTCTTAACAAAATAAGTGGTGATCACTCATTTAGAAACCTACATAGCCATCGAAATGCAAAGTATGACATGGTTCCAAGTCAAAAGTTTTTATTACTATATTTACTGCAAGGCCACATTCCAACTTCACCTACATGTTATCTGCAGAAATGGGCTCCTGAATTTTCCATTAATATTTTCAAATGATTGGCTAAAAGGCGCCATACACTGAAGAAAGTACTGAAATGTTTTAATGTTCTCTGGTCTTTAATAAAAGCCTCTATCTACACGTAAAAGACCACAAAGAAGGACAAAATGAAAAGGCACTTCTAGGAGAATTTTATCTGAGCCCCTGTGTCTAGGTAAAGTTACCAGAGGACACTGCTTGCTGCCCACTTCTCAAGGTCATGATGTACATGTGAGCTGGTTAATAATGGCTTCCTTCAGTTTAGATGCACCAACATCATAATTTATCACAGATCGATAACTCTCCCTTTGTTCTTTCACAGATGAAGCAGGGAGGCAAACGTGATGAAAGCTTCTGGCTTCTGGAGAACTGGCACAGGAATGAGGGGAATATTTCTACACAGGCTTTCTAAATTTTGGCAACAATATGGCCTAGCACAAGTTCAAACACATACAAGATTCGCTTACCATACAACCTCAGCATACATTCACGCATTTATACCAACGCCATGTCATAAAGAAATACAATGGAACTACCATGGAAATGCAAGTTTTCAACTTCTCTTAGCAATTCACAGGATACATTAAGAAATCCAAAGTTTCAATTTTCCAAAGCAGTTTATAAAACACAGAGGTCCTTCAAAAGAGAGCTTTCAAAATGAAGAAATATTTATTAGACATAATTCTTCTTAATCTATTACTAAGTAACGAATTTTTTATTTTCTATTTTCTAGTGACAGTGTAACAATTACATTTAAATTTATAATTAAATTTGTGTGTTCTGATGTCTATCTTTATTTCAATGTCAAGACCCCACTATCATCTCAAGCTGTACAGTACTAGGTAAACTAGTGATGCCAAATTATTGGAAAACGTTCCCAACATAAAATAGTTCAGTTTATCCTATTTACTAGTAAGCTAATGTTCAGGAGTCCCAGCGGGAGCACTTTTTCAACCAGTTTTAACTGAGCACCCACCAAGCGCAAGCACCAAGCTGGCCTCGGAGATGCGGGAGTGAGGCAGCAGCCTCAGACCTCAGGCATCGCAGACAGGGGAAGACGAGCCAATAAACCAGCTCTGAACAGAAGCAACAGGGTCGGTGTGCCAGCAGGGAGACAGCTGGGGCCGTCAACTCGGCTGCACAACGCAGTCTGGAAACGTTTGCCACAAAAGGAGCCTGAATTCAGTCTCCCGGCGAAGTCATGAAGGGATTAAACAGTCTGGGAGACAAGACAGGACTCCAGGAAGAAGGAACAGCCTGTGCAAAGACCAGGAAAGGGCCTTTCTCTTCTAACCCTACCGCAGCCCTCCAAGGACCAGGGCCCCTCCCATGATGGCCGTCACTGCCGGTACTGCGCTATCTAGATGGGGCCACTCATTTAATTTTCAGAGCAACCCATGGGCTAAGAACTGTTATTACCCCCATTTTGTACATGAAGATGCTGAGATTCAGAGAAGCTCTGTAAACAGGCCATTCTAAAACAGGATTCAAATCAAGATCCATTTGACTACAAAGCCCAGGCTCTCACATTACCAGGACTTTGAATGTCACACTGCCCAGAGCATCCTTTCTTGTGTGGATCCAAATGTTATCTTGGATAACTAGCCAAAATTAATTAAAATTTCTAGTTCTTAAATCTTAATTTTAAATGTTACTATTTAGAACAGCTATATTAAGGTATAATTCACATACCATACAACTTGCCCATTTAAAGTACATGCTTTAATGGCTTTTAGTATATTCACAGAGTTGTACAGACATCACAACGATCAATTTTAGAACATTTCCATCACCCCAGAAAGAAATGCTGTACCTTTTAGTAGTCACTCGCCGTTTCTCCCCGAGCTCCCTGACCCTTGGTATACACTCATTTACATTTTATCATGATAGATTCGCCTGTTCAGAACACCTCATATAAATGGAATCATTCAAAATCTGTCTTTTGTGACTGGTTTCTTTCGCTTAGCATAACATTTTCAAGGCTCCATGTTGAAATAAAGATAGACATTTCCAGGTCGTACCTTGAATCATACATCATTCCTTTTTTACAGCTAAATAATATTCTTTCGTATGATACGCCAAACTTTATTTATCCATTCATTAGCAGATAGACATATGGGTTGTTTCCATCTTTTTGCTAAATAATGCTGCTGTAAACATCTGTACACAAGTCCTTGTGTGGATATATGTGTTAATGTCTTTTCGGTACATGCCCTCGAGTGGAGTTACTGGGTCACATGGTAGCTCCACGTTTGACCTACTTAGGAAGCACAGAAATGCTGCTGTAAACATCTGTACACAAGTCCTTGTGTGGATATATGTGTTAATGTCTTTTCGGTACATGTCCTCGAGTGGAGTTACTGGGTCACATGGTAGCTCCACGTTTGACCTACTTAGGAAGCACAGACTGTTCTCCACAGTGTCTGCACCACTCTGGGTTCCCACAGCAGTGAGGTGGACTTCCAAGCTCTCCACACCCACCCCCCTCAACACGTGCTATGGTCTCTCTTTTTGACTATAGTCTACCAGTGAGTGCCTAGTGGTATCTATTGTGGTTTTGATTAGCATTTCTCTGATTGATAACACTGAGCACCTATCTTTTCATGTGCTTATTGACCATTTGATATTTTCTTTGAAGAAATGTCTATTCAGATCCACTGCCCATTTTTAATTGGGTTTTCTTTTTATTACAGAGTTGTAAGAGCTCTTTATATATTCTGGATCCAAGTCCCTAATCAGATATCTAAATTGCAAATATTTTCTGTCATTCTGTAGGCTGTCTTTTCACTTTCTTAATAGTGCCCGTTGAAGCACAAAAGTGTTTTAGTTTTGAATGTCCAATTTGTCTATTTTTGATTTTATAGCATGTGCTTTTGGTGTCATATCCANATCTTTTCATGTGCTTATTGACCATTTGATATTTTCTTTGAAGAAATGTCTATTCAGATCCTCTGCCCATTTTTAATTGGGTTTTCTTTTTATTACAGAGTTGTAAGAGCTCTTTATATATTCTGGATCCAAGTCCCTAATCAGATATCTAAATTGCAAATATTTTCTGTCATTCTGTAGGCTGTCTTTTCACTTTCTTAATAGTGCCCGTTGAAGCACAAAAGTGTTTTAGTTTTGAATGTCCAATTTGTCTATTTTTGATTTTATAGCATGTGCTTTTGGTGTCATATCCAAGAATGCTTTGTCTAACCTAAGTTCATGAAGACTTACTCCTGTATTTTCTTTTATGAATTTTATAGTTTTTATTCTTACATTTGGATCTTTTATCCATTTCTAGTTAAATTTTGTGGATGGTGTGATGAAAGGGTCCAAACTATTTGTTGAAAAGGTTATTCTTTCCCTATTGAAATGTCTTGGCAACTTCCTCAAAAATCAATTAATCATACATGCAAGGGTTTATTTCTGACGTTCAATTATATTCCATTGATCTGTATGTCTATTCTATGCCTGTACCACATGGTCTTGATTACTAGAGCTTTGTGGTAAGTTTTAAAGTCAGGAAAGATGAGTTTTCCAACTTTGTTCTTTGCTGAGGTTGTTTTAGCTACTCTTGGTTCCTTGAATATCAGCTTGTTGATTTCTGCAAAAATGCCAAGTGGGATTCTGATAGAGATTGTGCTGAATCTGTAGATCGATATATGTTCTATTTCCATCCTAACAATATTATGTCTTCCAATCCATGAACACAGGATGTCGTTCCATTTATTTAGTTTTTTTTTAATTTCTTTCAACAATATTTAGTAGTTCCCAGAGAAAAACATTTTCACTTCTTTTGTTAAA